ACATCTCATATCTTTAATGAGTTCCGATTTATTTAATTTTTATGTCAGTCAGTTTAGAATTGCGACTTTTTCTGTATTTCACGAATTTATTGATTCGACAAAGTAAGCTTTATAATTGGACATCATTTACTACTTTCTGGCTTCTCATTGTTTTATTAAACAAACAACGCATAGTCGTTTCCTTACTGGACATACCATGTTCATGTCTTTTTCCATTACTCAAGGAGCTGAGTACTCGACAGGACAAATAACTTTATGTAATACATATTGATGTTTCTTGATACAATACATTTAGATGTTGATGTTAAGTTTCTTGATACAATACATATAGATGTTGATGTTAAGTTTCTTGATACAATACATTTAGATGTTGATGTTAAGTTTCTTGATACAATACATTTAGATGTTGATGTTAAGTTTCTTGATACAATATATATATAGATGTTGATGTTAAGTTTCTTGATACAATATATATATAGATGTTAATGTTAAGTTTCTTGATACAATACATTTAGATGTTGATGTTAAGTTTCTTGATACAATACATATAGATGTTGATGTTAAGTTTCTTGATACAATACATTTAGATGTTGATGTTAAGTTTCTTGATACAATACATTTAGATGTTGATGTTAAGTTTCTTGATACAATATATATATAGATGTTGATGTTAAGTTTCTTGATACAATATATATATAGATGTTATGTTAAGTTTCTTGATACAATATATATAGATGTTGATGTTAAGTTTCTTGATACAATACATATAGATGTTATGTTAAGTTTCTTGGAACAATACATTTAAATGTTGATGTGAAGTTTCTTGATACAATACATAAAGATGTTGATGTTAAGTTTCTTGGAACAATACATTTAGATGTTGATGTTAAGTTTCTTGATACAATACATAAAGATGTTGATGTTAAGTTTCATGATACAATACATTTAAATGTTGATGTTAAGTTTCTTGATACAATACATAAAGATGTTGATGTTAAGTTTCTTGATACAATACATTTAGATGTTATGTTAAGTTTCTTGGAACAATACATTTAAATGTTGATGTTAAGTTTCTTGATACAATACATTTAGATGTTGATGTTAAGTTTCTTGATACAATACATAAAGATGTTGATGTTAAGTTTCATGATACAATACATAAAGATGTTGATGTTAAGTTTCTTGGAACAATACATTTAGATGTTGATGTTAAGTTTCTTGATACAATACATATAGATGTTGATGTTAAGTTTCTTGATACAATACATAAAGATGTTGATGTTAAGTTTCATGATACAATACATAAAGATGTTGATGTTAAGTTTCTTGATACAATACATTTAGATGTTGATGTTAAGTTTCTTGATACAATACATTTAGATGTTGATGTTAAGTTTCTTGATACAGTACATTTAGATGTTGATGGTAAGTTTCTTGATACAATACATTTAGATGTTGATGTTAAGTTTCTTGATACAATACATTTAGATGTTGATGTTAAGTTTCTTGATACAATACATTTAGATGTTGATGTTAAGTTTCTTGATGCAATACATAAAGATGTTGATGTTAAGTTTCATGATACACAGGAGGTACGTGGGTACATCTGTTATAGACGGTTATTAATCATGCCATGTTATATAAGAAATATCATTTCAGTCTTATCATATATATATATCACTGATTAAACACATTTGTGGTATATATTTAATGGGAATGCACTGTACCCAAGGCGTTAACCTCGACACCTGCTAGTTTGGCAAGCTTGTGTTTTATTTTTATGCAATACTTCACTCTCTA